GCCTCCAATGTCCAAAGTGTAGGTAGCACACTGACCTCTCTCTTCAAAACAGAAAACAGATTTTCAATCACGTTGAGATCCGGGCTATTAGGAGGAGTTGCATGAACTGAACCTTGGAGTCACGCATCATTTCTGAAGTCTAAAAGCAAATAATAAGTTAACCAGACTACTTAACTAAATAAATTTACTAACCTCTCGTGAAACATGACACGGAGCGTTATCCTGAAAAATCATAAGTTTTACAGACGAATTTTTTTATGAAATTCTGGAAACATTTTCGTAATTACTGAGACAAATTTCCCACTATTCATGGTGCCTTTGACTGATGTCCACCGACAAGGCTGACCATGTTTTTATTTCTTCTCAAATGAGTAATCTCGACGAGTGAGAAATTCTTTTATTTGGTGGAATAAGTTCCTTTGGAAAATTTTCATCACAACTGACTTTTTTGTGAGCCTTCCAAGGCTCGTGGCACACCATACACGGAGTATGAATGGCTGGGAAGATCTTCCCGTTGGATAGATGACAACGTTTTTCAGCGATATTTTTTCAGAGTAATGCGAATCAGGTCGTCCTTCTGTTTAGATGTACTCGGTTTACGGCCTCCGCAAGCTGTTCCGGTTGTGGTTTTCTCATGGATTATCCTGTAAATTGTGCTTTGTTAACGTTAAAGCATTAGGCAAGATTTGATATCGAAAATCTCAGCTTGTGTGCTTGTGCAATTCTGTTTCTGTCCTCTTCACTGAGATAACGCGAACTTTTGGTTTTGAGCGCTGCTTGCTTCATTATAGTGACAACAATACGAACATCCAAAGTTGTGCGCAAAAATGACCTTGATTTCAAGGTTGACTTTGATTGAAATGGTATCTCTCGAATTGAGTGAGTTAGATATTAAACATAGATTATTATTATGAAACCTTATTAAATGTAATTTCCAAAGGTTGTGAAACATTTTCACTTGGTTATTCACTAGAGTTGCTATAATGGATAAAAACGGATAAAATATGCCTCATAGCAAACACCCGAATTGGCAAGGGTTTATGGAAATAATTTGGGATAATTCTTGAGTCTTTCCTAATATAATATATTGGGTTTTCATACTCGATAAAGTTTGCGTTTTTCATGTTCAGATCATTTAATCTTGGCACCCAAGGTCAGGCACGTTTAATTAATTATGCAGCCTAGAAACTACTTAGATCGCAGTAGACAAGATATAAATTATTGTCCATACCTGAAGCATTAATACAGGTGATAAATATAATGAAACTCCATTTGATAATGAAGAAAATATTTCAGTGCATCACAATCGGCCGGTTCTGCATGGGGTTGTTCAATTATGGTGAATGAGCACACAGTTAAACCCAATTCGTCTTTCAGACCACTTTTACCTAATCGCTTTGCTAAACTCTTGGCACTTAGTGAGGCGCTGCTTATTCGATGAAATTACTCGATCTTGTGCGCACAAAAGTTTTGATACAATCAATCCATTTAATGTTGAGTTGACCTTCTACTTCTATGTTTATTGGTCTTTGTATGCTTATACATGTTCATTTACTATAATTGATCAACCACATATGTGCTTTATGTGTGCTTGTTTGTTTTAATTCAACGATTGAGAAGATTCACCGAAATGTTAACATCTTGTGACATTTGTATTCTTTCTATATTGATGAAATAGACAAAGGGGACCCAATGCTTCGAAATGCACGAAGTAGCAAATTCAATATTAGATTGCCAGTTGGACTAGCGAATTCTTCTTCAAACCATAACAAATTTTCAAATTAGCATTATTAAATAGTTTCGTCCCACCTGGGAATAAGATCGGCGCTATACAAACAGGAATTTAGCCTCATGGCATCAGAGAGAGAGAGAGGTCGCACACAATGGCTCTGACGTACTTGTACAAGTTACCTCCGACTTCGGACATGTTTGCAATTCTTTTCCTAGGCCGGGGCAGTTTTTCCCCTGTTCACCCATTGGCGAAGGGTTTGTACACCATCGTTGCCGAGTGCGAATGGGATAGGAATCTTCTTCGTTTCCAAATCGTCCATTTTTACTCACTTCTTGACGTCTACCGTACTTTCGGTGAGGAGAACATGCGGGTTCGCAACCAGACCACGAACTCCATGATGTCCATCTGCCGTCCGTGGAACAATTGGCCACTTGTATGGCATACTCCGATGGACATGCTTGGGCGTCGATACCAAATCGATAAGGAGCGGAACAATAGCGATATCGACACTGACAACCATTTACCACCAGGGGATCGGCCAAATCCCAAGCTTTCGATGGTCGGCTAAATTCAAGACTGGTTGGTCGTCTGGCATGAAGGGACCGATTGTGGCTCATTTGACATGGACTCCACGGTCCCCATGCTCCCCATGCTCCATGAACGATCACGTCCGTTTGATCTTGCGATTCGGACGGGCAGGTTTCATATCGCACTAGTTGTTTTCGCAATTCTGACGTTTCAAGCAGTTCTTGGCATTGTTCCGTTTGCCTGTTCCAAGCACAATACGGGTCATGAAGGAGCACACAAGCACGTTCATCGTGGCCCAGCCGGGAGCATCGAGCCACAGGCAGACGAAATACAGACTTTGTTGTGGCTATCAAAAGGATGGGCTAGAACAGATTGTAAAAAATACTGAACAAATGTTGCATCTCAGACATAAGCTAGAGTTATTCCGTGCAATGAACATTGACTAACACGGGGAAGATATTAGGGTGAACGATTGATGACTGTGTCGAAATTAGGATCCCTTTATTCTGCCCCTTTTTAGGTAAAAATACCTTGTTAAATGACTACGATCATACCACCAAAAATAACGTGATCACCAAACTGCCCATTTTGAATTGAATATGAACAGCTAACACTTTCCAGTGTGTATGGAAAAAATACGGTGTCCATGGCTATAACGAAGTTGTGACAGGTTGGTCCAGCTCATCTGCCAGGTTGTATGCTCGAGGTTTTTTCCAACAATTTCTCCACCCTCAGTTGTACCTTTAGCTAAATATTTTGATGCTTCGTATCATTTTCTCAATTTTTTGTTCTATGTTCATTTTTATCTCCACAGCAAGTCTGGGATCAAATAGTGAAAAAGTGAGACCTTTGAGTTCACATAAAATCCGACGCTGTGGAATAATCCTCCTTGAGGGAATCAACCGCTTCAGTTATTTTATCCTACTAGATATGATATACAAGCCAAGAAGTTCCACCAACGATTTGGTGTCACACCCTCTAAACATTAGGTTTCTTCGGTCTGGGACTTCAAACCCTTACCTTTGAGCTACACGGTTGATGGTCATCACCTTGTGCGAATGGCTCAATCAATTTACATGGCGAATGTTTGGATTATCCCACTCGGCTTTTTACAGGCACCGGGCACTGTTGATGGTGTTGGCTCATTCACTTTATGGTATCGAGGTTGCATTAGC